TAAAACAATGGAAATAAACCAATTTTCCTTTATTTGTCCAGTTTTTACCCTTTTTTCGCCACTTTTCCTATTTAAAAAAATTATTTCTTGTATGCAGGACCCTTCTAAGTATAGAAAAACACATTGAAAAAGTAATATAATGCAAAATATGCGGAAGAAAAAAGAAGAAATTTTTTTGAAAAGTTGCCGAAGCTGGGATTCGAACCTGCTTCCCTTCTCCCCCGCCGTCGGTTAATAGTCCGGTGTCTTGATCACCACACTACTCGAACACGAGAAGCCTGCCACAATTTCGCTTCAAAAGTCCTCTCACAGTCAGCTATGCAATTGACCTTTAAGGCACCCCCTAATTCACATATAAAAATTTCCTCCAGCAGAAATGTTTGGACCATTGACCCTTTCTTAGGGACCGAGTTTGAAATTTATAATTTAATATTGAAGGTAGTTAGACGGCTTCGAAATGAAAACCCCTCTCCGACATTTTATTTATAATTTTTTTTAAATCATTATTCCATTATGTGTTCTTTAACAAAGAAAGGTGCACGATTCCACGCATAGAATTCATATTCCTCGTTAAACTATGCTACCGTTAAATGCTCGACTTCGTGTGCAGGTCGTTGGGCTACCGAAGCGGGGGTGCCATCCCCTCTGCCGAGGATCAATATTGTGATGGCAAGTCTTCGGATCTTCCTCAGGGATGCTTCCCAGACCGTCGCCAATAGCCTATTATGCAGCTCTAGTGTGACGTAAATGAAACTACAGCTACAACAGGCCTTCATCAATAATGTGAATGGCTCTTAAGCACAATCGAGTTCAGAGGTTGGAAATCTCTACTGTAGCAAAATTGGGCAGTCGACAGCTATAGCTAATGTGGAACTTTCAAACCAAAATATAGTTGTAATAATTAATAAACTTCATTTGTTGTTAATGCTTTTAAGAAAACAATTGGAACTGAAACCAACGAAGTATGAGGAAACAATTTATAATTTTTATTTGAGAACAAATATTTTGTGTTAGAATTTTAAGATTTCAAAATTTTAGCTGGACACTTGAAAATTTAAAGTGCATGATTTTTTAAAGATAGAGTTTAACCTATTATATCTTTTCATTATTTTCTTGCATAATTTTAGTAATGAAATATGAAAAGAAAGCACTTTCGTGGAAATATGCAGCTCTCCCGTATAACTTATACAATCTTTGACTCTCCTTCCGTCATTTGATACAATGAAAAAACAGGCTTTGCAAAGAGACAGGAGACAAGGCCTGTTTTACCAAAAGAAGAGCTTCCTATAACTGAAGAATGATGCAGCATAAATCAAGAATAATTTCATGCTTGTGTAATCGGAGGTGAACGATTTTCGGTAAATATTAAAATGAAAGTACCACTTAGGGTGACCCTGGGTAATTCAGGATCACTCTGTTTCTGGGGTAAATAAGGATCACCTAAGTTTTATTTAAACAAGAATTATTTTTTTTAAAATTTGAGACATGAACAAGAATGTTTGTACACTTTACAAAAGTATAACTACATTTACTTAATACAGTAAAACCTGTCTATAATGATACTGTAGGGACCTAAATAAAATATTGTTATAGGCACATTATCGTTATAGACAGGTTTGAAATTTAAAAGTATTCGTTTAATACTAATGATAAATTAAACTTCTTTTATAGGCTCCAAATGAAAATTTTACTTAGAAACAGCACACAAGAAAAATTTACTTACAATTTTATGAATCAAAACAGAAATTATTTAGAAAAATAATCGGTTAGTTTTGTTTGCTTATTTTTGGAAGCAATTGCCATTTCCATGCGCATAGATTTCAGTCCATCTAATGAATTCAAATGAACATCAGTTACATTTGGTAATGTTGCAACAAAATCTTGCAAAGTGTTAATTAGCAATATGGCATTCTCGGGTGAAATTTGAGTCCTGTTTTGAGAACAGTCAGCTGCTTCTTCCTCATCACTTTGATCACCCGGGATAACTTCTGCTAAAATCTCTTCATCACTTGCACCACTGAAAACCAACACATCATTATCTAAATTTAAAAATTCATCTGCGTTAAATAGAAATGATGTATTAGATGATCTTTGGAAATCACTGACAATCGAATTTAAGCCTGCCACACATTTTTCTTCTTCATCAGTGATTTCAGTAAGCTCAGTTTCTGCGTTTCCGTTGCTTTTATCCTCAAAGAAAGAAGCTTTCTTCCAACAATTTTGGATGGTGGATTGTGTCAATGAATTCCACCCTCCGGAAATCCAATCACATGCATTTTTTACATCAACTGCATAAGGATTTGGGAGTTTATTATCCAGATTATAAACAACGTTCTGAACTAATCTTGTTCGATAGTATCCTTTGAAACATTTTATTATTCCCAAATCTAATGGCTGTAGAATCGACGTGCAATTTGGGGGAAAATAAAACAATTTTATATTTTTCAAACTTGGAGGATTGTTGTGAGGAGTGCAGTTGTCAACTAAGAGAGCTATTTTTTTCTTCTTTCTTTTCATCTCCTTATCCACATCAAGCAGCCAGTTGTTAAATATTTCTTCTGTCATCCAGGCTCTTTTGTTTGCCTTGTAGTCAACTGGTAAACTTTTCACATTCTTAAAACATCTAGGTTTAGCGTATTTGCCTATAACGAACGGCTTCAGTTTATCGGTTCCAGTACTGTTTGCACAAAGTAGAACAGTTAACCTCTGTTTTGATTTTTTACCTCCTTTACAATTTTCTCCCTTAAATGCCATTGTTTTATCTGGCATGAGCTGATAAAATAAGCCAGTTTCATCAGCATTTCTGACGAAGCTCTCTCCCTCCTACAATACCCCTTCACCCATTTCTACTGCTCTAATTTCCCCTAAAAGTGGCATTTTTTCTCAGAAACAACGAAAGAATATTACATACAAAGGAGATGAAAAAAAAACAAAACATTTTGTTATCTCACATTTAGGCTCGATGGGGAGTCGTTTTCCAACGGTAGAAAAATCGGAATAGAACTATCAACTATCAAAAGAGGAAAAATTATCGTTGTAGACATGTTTAACTGAAAAGTGGTTATCGCTATAAACAGGTTAAAAATACATTGAGTAAATAGGAATTTCACCGGGACCTCAAGGAAATATCGCTATAGACAGGTTTATCGTTATAGACAGTATCGTTATACACAGGTTTCACTGTAATAGTCTTTTGTTTAATCTAACAAAATAAGTATCTTTTAAACTGCTTTCTTTATTTTCCGTTTCAAAGATGGGTTTTAAAATGTGCACAAATCTGCAAAGATCCTTCTCTTAATATAAATATTTTGAGTTTTTTTCTTTGATTTAAAAATAATGTCAGCTTATGTTTAATTGTTTCACATCTGTTGCAAACATTATTATTGATTATAGGAAACTATATCAAATGTTGTCCCCTACAGATGGGGTAATTATTGATCATGATCACTGGGGTAATTCCTGATCGTTGTTCTTTCTTCTTATAAATAGTATAAATAATAGATAATAAATAGCTAATTGTCTTTTTTTAAATAGCAGTTCATATTTATTAAGTGGAACAATTATAAAATATGTTTTAACTGTAATCACAAAATTTGTTTTTAACTCTGTACAAAACAAATGTGTTCTGATTTGCACCATTTCTAGTTTGTCTGACTTGGCTTCTATCTTAAATTTATGTGCGTACATTGTTAGAATAATTTTTAAGTTTATAAATTAACCTAATATAAAAATTGTGAGAAATTATAAGCCTAAAAAGGATATTAAGCTTCTAGAAAGCAAATTCAGTGAATTTCTTTTAATGATTGAAAATGAAAATTTCAGTGTGAGAGCTGTTGACATACCTTACTTAACTTTACACTCTCATTTAATGAAGTTAAAAAATCTAGCCAAAGTAACCCATGTGAGAACTATTTCTTATATTCCAGCAGAACATGAGAATGAGTTAGCTGCTTGCCTAAAATGTATGGCACGATACAAAGATTTTTGGAAAATTTAAAGTGTTAATCTTTGTTCTTGCTTTTAAATAAATCGTTTTATTAGCTGCTTAAACATATCTTTTTGGTTTATTTGTTTCATCTTAATGTCTTATTTGTTAATTACCATTGTATAATAATTTTTAAACAACCCCTTTACTATAAAAACTGGTTGGTAATCAATAATTACCCCAGAAATGATCAAGAAAAGGGGTAATTCCTGATCACTAAAAATTTAAAATCTTTTAAATTCTAATTAGATTTTCAAACAAAAAAAGGTAGCATAGTACTCATCTCATAAACCCTCACACTTCTAGTCAATATTAAAATTCTATCTTAAATAATTTGTTCACAAAATAGATGTTTGCATTTTTTGATCAGGAATTACCCCAGGTCACCCTAATTACATTTTATAAATGGAAAGATATATCAAGGAGCTCATAGAATATTACCTGAAAGGTTAGTATTTTGATAAATAATTAAAAAATGACGAAAAATTTGCTAAATATCATAATTTACACCTTTAAAAGCTATGTCAGAGTTAGTTCAGTTGTATTAAAACTTTAGTGAGAACTTTCATTGAACAATGTTAGATTGTATAATTTTTAGTCCACAATAGCCTCGAAACACTCTGATACTATGGATAACACACTTTTAAAAAAAAATATTATTTGAAGAACATGTATATTAACTCTTGTACACTTATGTAGTACTTCAGAATGAAGATAGAAGTAAAAATTTTATCAAAAAATAGAGAAAATAAAAGTGTTATCTATTAAAATTGAACTTGCTACTTTAATAAATTTTTTGTTTGTTTTGAAGGCTTAATTCATTATAAGTAGGGCTGCAAGTTTGTCGCGGGAAAAAAGACCCCAATTCGCAGAAAAATCGCTGGAAATTTTGAAAATTACACAAATTCTAAACATAGAAAAATTTATTACGTAAATGATGCAAAAGACAGAAATTGCGCAAATAATTAAAAAAGCTTAAAAATACACACGAAAAGTATTTCTTTGAATTTCAAGCAATATAAATATTTTTATTTAAATGAACAGAATTTTGGTACAAAGTATTGTACATTGTCAGATTATTCTCAGTTATGCTTTGTCTTTCATCACTTAATACATTTGTATACTTAGAAAATGATCTTTCTTCGTCAACGCTGTTTTCAGGCACCGACAAACATCGAATTGCCAATTTTGGAGCATTCGGTCTTTGATTTCCAAAACTCGATCAATTTTCCTTCACCAATGCGCAATTCCTTGACCTTTGATTTGTAAGAAGTAATTGCTGTGAAAACTCAAACATTCTACATTCAAACTACTAGTTAGAAGTCCCTACTAACTACTAGTCCGCCCCCTCTCATCTAAGAAACTGATCCATATTTAAGAAATCACAAGAAGCCGTCTAGGAAAACTTAACTGGATATGTAGAAAGGCAGTAGAAATTTCATTGCCCAGTGCAATAGCATGTATAACAATTTTTCTGTCCAAGATTTGATTTATAACATTTTCCTTCTTTTGTGATTCCAATTTCTTATGTACTCTTACTGACTTCAGGAAGGTAATTACTCTCCCTAAGTGTAGAAAGACCACCTTAGTTGACAAGATTGTGATTATCTCTGAACTATTTTCATGTCATTTCGCTATTGATTCACTCCACTAAATGTCTAATCAATTTTACATGTTCAATTTGAGGTTCAGGAAAATAAAAAATTCCGTTTACTAAAAATAATAAATAAAAAATGAAGAAAAAAATTCAAATCTTAAGCAATTTTCACGCAAGTCAAGACATATTGATAAACTCACAGACTTTAGGAAAAAAGATGACAATTTCGCGGAAATTCGCGCCGCGACAGACCTGCAGCCCTAATTATAAGTTCTATCAACAATTTGGTATGTAAGATTTAGTGTTGTCGTAGGCCATTAAGGCCTACCACATTAGAGATTTTTTTTAGTGAACTTACTCACTTTTAGGGAGTTTTTAAAAATGTACAGAAACCAGGAGAATATTGATTAAAACAGTAGACTAGGAGAAACTGGCAAAATCCAGTAGTCTACAGGAAAATCCAGTAGAGTCAGTTATACATTTCGAGTTGGTCCCTTTCTGTGATTTTTTTGTTTTGTTTCTTGCAGCCGCTTACCGGAAGCTGCCAAGACTTAGCGAGTATTCTGCCACTGATCACGATACGGAAATCTTCCTCTGAATATTAACATTTGTTCTTTCTCCTCTTTAACAGATCTATTTGTTTATAATTACTAGTCCCAGGTATGCCACAGAGGACTAAAAATTTAATAAGTGATAGAAACTCATTGAATTTTTATTTATTTATTAACTCTTTAATTATTCAAACCACAATAACTTACATTTCAAATAACAAAATATTCAATAATCAAAACATAATTTGCATTCTCTTTCAACAGTAAACTGTAAAAATATACTGTAAAAAAATTGGTAATTTCAATCTCTTTTTAATAAAATTTTAGATTTTATTAGTCACCACTTCTTCCATTTTTAGTCACCTGTGGCAACACAGTAATCGTTATTTTAAAATACCTTTTAACACATTCTCATCTAAACTTCAAAGCTGAATCAACAGAAATTCGTCAAGGACAAAAAGAAAACAAAAATGTTACTTGATTTCAGGCTTATTAGAGTACAGAATTCCATGTTTTTAAAAACAATTTCATTAAATTCAAATTGCATGGTGCATAGCCTTTTGAAAAAGTGCTTAAAGGGGCTTATTTTCGTTATTTAAAAGCCCTTAAAGGTACTTTTTTCATTGGGTGTTTTTAAAAGCTGCTTAATTTTACCTTTTCAAAAATGAGATTTTTTTCTTTACCATGTCGATTTTTGCCACAAAAGCGTGCTATTAGCATTGTTCTATTCAATTTTTTCACGATTCATTCAACCACAATCATTTTACATGTTGGATGAAATACTTGCGAGTCTGTATGTGCATGTATATTGAGCTGGTATCAGTGAGATTATAGCACTCTAATGTGCAACTCTGCTGCATTTTGCAAGATATTCTCGATTTCAGGCTTCCTTTTCCACCCTCTGATGTCGAACTGAAAAATCTCTCCATAAATTTGTAACGGCTACTATAATCAAGAAAAGCATTGTTTGTCAGAAACTAGTTATTTTATCATGATCATCTAAAGTCTTTTAAAATTATTTTGCATTCTGTTAATGTATATAGTGCTTAAAAAGTGCTTATTTTTTGTTTAAAGATATGGCTACACACTCTGAATTGAATTCAACAAGCAGCATGAGAATTTTGGGTACTTTTCCAATTTGCCGGCGCAGGCGTCCAAAATGCCACATCACCGTGCGCAAGTAAATTCAATTGTTTTTATTTTAATTATTGCTATTTGTTTATTTACTTTTAATTTTTTTTTTAGCTAGTAGATATTTTTTTAAATAAAAATGAATCGGCCGGGATAGCCTGGTTGGTAGGGCACTGGGCTCATGTCCAAGAGCTCGTGAGTTCGATCCCAGGCTGGCCGAAGATTACCAGTGTAGTAAATGGTGACTCATGCACGTTAAATCTGTCGAGTCGTAAAGTCCCCCATGTTCCCATTACAAATCAATACCTCTGGGAGTACTGATCCAGGAGTTTCCTTGTCTTCTGGATTGGTTCAAAATTACAAAGCTACGGAGTTGAACATTAGTAGTCGTATACCCAAAATCAGGTTGGCTGTTTAACGACGGATATAAAATAAAATAAAAATGAATAAACAAAGTAGTTGGATTTACTTATGCCAACAAAATGGAAAAGTACTGAATTTTGTGTACAATTTTTGAATAATTTATATTTAAAATTTGATTTTATATACATTAAATTAAGCTGGCATTTTTACAATAATAATTTTTGTCTGATTACCTTGGGGCAGAGAGAGTTCTCTGTAAATTCTGTTGCCAAAGGTCCTAAAAAATAATCTTTAAAAACTTTGTTACTATGTTAAAAATCTGCTTTAAAAATTTTACCAATAAAAATTCATTATAGGTTCATAGACTTCACTATTAAAGCAATACAAAACTGATGAACAAATAAGATGGTGGATCTGGTGTAGACGTCCTATTTGTAAAGTGAGTTTTTTCATAGTTCTAAATTTTTATGTTAAGATTATTGTTAAACAGAGTTAAGTATTATTATTATTTAAGTTTGTTTCTCAATTGGGCCTCAAATTTTAATCAAATCATGGATTGATGTGAATGTTAGTTTGGCATCCCTTTTTGAAGTTTTTTTTAATTTCTTAATAACTAGAGAGGAGAGGAACTAAATATTCACTAGGAGTCAGGGTTTTATTTTATAACTGCCTATTGCACAGCCGACCCAATTTTCAGCTTACAACTCCCATTGTTTTACTCCATAGCAGGGTTGGCAGGTTTTTGACATGTGACAGTTTTTGACAGTTTAAACCATGGTTTAAACCGTCACGTCAAAAACCTCACTGTCGGAAATCTCAAAAACCTATATTCATATGTGAAATTTAATTAATACATAAAATTTATATACATTGAACTTTTAAAAAAAAAGATAGTGTTTCTAAATATGTTCTAGAAAAAATAAATTTAAAATTTTGAAGAAACACTTATATTTTGAATAGTAACCAAAATCTTGTACTTTTGAAAACTCACATCTTTTGTAATATTATGTATTCATTTTCATGTGTTATTGAAAATCTGCAGTGATATTATTAAGAAATTTATTTATAACCAAATTTAGTGTATAGTATAGATTATACTAAAAATTAGACATTTTTAAAGATAAACATTAGCAGTTTTGTACATTAGACATCTTTTAAAGAAAAATCTTTTTAATATTCTTTTAAATCTTCTTAATAATCTTTTTAACATAAGACAATACAAATTTAAGTGCTTTCTGTTAAATACACAGAGTAGTTAGTGTCGATTTACAGTATATTCAGCCTATTCATTTACTATGCTGAAAATTTAGTTTATCCAAATACTTGTGAATTTCATTTTGCTGAATACTATATAGTTTTGTTGAATATCTAAATATTCAGCTGTTGAATAATTACTTCTTGCTTTCAAGATATGCATTATTTGTATTCTTAATACAAGTGGAGAAAAAAAAATTAAGAGATAAAAATTGTTTTAAAATGATAAGTGTAATAATTATAAATAAATATAATAAACAATATGAATTATATTTATCATTATTCACAAATATAACTACTTTTAAATTCAAATTAACATACTGGATAATAAAGATATTCGGTATAACATTAAAAAAAATTTTTTATACACTTGTATCTTATATCAAGTTTGTATTTATACAACATAACTTGTAAGTTCCTTATAAATATTAGTTATATGTTCCTTATATGTCAAAAATGCATAGTAATAAACTTTTAATTTTCTTAAGTATCAAAAAGAAAGAAAAATTTTTTTAAATATAAATATTTAAACAATTTTTGTGCAAAATTTTTCTGCACATGCATTTGAATATAAATTTCTGAGATTTTAAATCTGTTATTTTACCTTAATTTTAATTAAAAAATATTTTAAAACCTGCTGATTACCTATAGTATAATTAAATTTAAATATAATGCATAGCAACTGTTGGTAGTTTTGAAGTTTATATATTTTCTTGGCAAACTTCAGTTTTTGACAGTTTAAACCAGTATTATACCCTTGTCATGTCAAAAACCACTTTTTGACGTCAAAAACCCAACCCTGCTCCGTAGCCCTGAATTTTGAACCAGAAGATTAGGAAACTCCCAAATCAAGCATTGGAACAAACTAGCCTTCATGGAGGACTTTTTGATGGAATTAACTCATGTTTGCATTACATGGAGAGAACTATGAAAACCTCCCATGGTTAACCTGACGCAAAAGAGACTCTAACTTCTCCGTCTACCACGGGAAATATTTTACATCAGTATTGTGGTAAGTGCGAGCTGGGTGTGTAATCGATATCGACCAGCCATGACTGAGATTGAAACAAAGATCAGCTCATTGAGAGGCAAGCGCTCTAAATAGATAGCCGTTAATAAGTGTGTTTAATAAGGAAATTTTGTCCTTAAATTTTATCGTTTGGACATTTAGCATTGATTTAGGTGTTGGGAATGCAGTAAAAAAATATAAGTGTTTGTGCAAGCATTTTCAGAATATTTATTCTTCCACAAAAAAAGTTTTTTTGCTCTGTTATAAAAATTAAATATTGTGGTTAAAAATAGCATTTTGAAATTAATCATAGCTTAAAGGTTTTGGCAACTAAGAAAAATAATATTTAAATGGCATTGATGCCTGACAGTTACATTCTAATTTCTAACCCTGCTAAGAGTATTTTGACTGCTTTAAGAAATATTACTCAAATTCGACGTTATCTATATATACATCTGATGATTACTAGCAAAGGACATTCATTAGGAAACATATTGGACCAAAAAAATGCAAAATGAGGAAAAAGGTAATGGTCAAAAATATATGAGTTTCAAAACGAAATATTTTACTTAACAGTTAATTTTATGTTTCGCAAACTATGAAAACAGAGTATCCACAAAGTGAAAGAAACCTAAAATTGTTAAGGAATTCTATGTCAGGGTAAAAAGTTGGGGAATGCTAAATTTTTATCTAAAAATCAAGAAAAGTTCTGAAGCAAGTTCAAAGATTTAATTTTTACTATGCAATGCCAGAGCTCATTCTAGGCAGGGTAAGCAGGGCGCAGCATCCTGCTGTCCTTTTAGTCAAAAAAATCCACTCTGTTGCCCCTGAAGTAAATTAGTGCCCTGATATAATAGACTCCATACCCTTTTTGCGCTTTCTTTCCTCAACCCTACTTTGTTTTTTCCCCAAACTCTACTATGGATTTCTTAAACTTTTGTTATTTTCAACTCTTTTTATTTATTTTGTCATTGCTGTCAATATATGGGATTTATATGGGAAAGGAAAAATAGCCATCACACCCCCTTGTTGCACTTGTCTTTGAAATTTTGCAGTTACTTCCACTATCATTAAATCATAATTATTATTAATCATTTAAATTATGAAATCATAACTACAGACACTTAAAAACATGCATTTCAAATAAGGGTCATTCCATGTCAGTTCATCCAGCCATGGCACCCACCGTCTCAGATTTTGATGAAAATTTGTACACTTATAGAGTTTTTTGTGCTGATTTCAAAAATATCAATTATATTTAAATCGGTTAATGAGTTTAAAAGTTATAAGAATTTATATTTTTGCCAAAATGGCACATTTGCCACCATTTTGATTCATGCATCAAAGGCTTATTAATGATTGTAACTCACCTTTTTTTAATTTTGTTCAGAATAAAGTAATCTGTCATTTAAACACTTTTTTTTGCAAATAAGTATCTTACTTATTTAATAAATGGGTCTGTTTTGCAGTTTTTTGATCAACGGAGTTGAGTAACTTCAGGAGATGATTTCTGGCAACTCGCCCCCTTCAATTTCAAAAATATTTTATTCAAAGAAAGTTGAAAGTGCAAACTAACATCTGATATAAAAGTTTTGATGGGCGATTCACTCACTTTTAAAAAAAAATATTTTTCTTATAAATTACTATGCATTAAAAGTGCTGGTAGTTTGATGATTTATAGTCCTTATGTAACTAGGGTATAATAAAATGATTATGAAAAAAATATGTATAGTAGAAAAATATGTAAAATAAAGTAATCATTTATTAAATTATTTATTTCTTCTTTCTTTGAGCCCCCCCCCCCTCCTTAAAAAAAAAAGAAGAAAGGAAAAAATTTGAGACTGAACAAGACAAATACAATTTCTGGCCAGGAATTGCTGAAATTTGCTTTAGCTCTGTATGTTTTAGCCTGATCTACACTTATGACATGAAGGGAGACTTTCTTGGTCTTATTGGAAGGAGAATTAAATAAGTCACAATTTTTTTTTATCCATACACGGTGACCTGGGGTAATTCCTGATAAAAAAATGCAAACATCTATTTTGTGAAAAAACTATTCAAGATAGAATTTCAATATTTACTGGAAGTTTGAGACTATATGAGATGAGTCCTATGCTACCTTCTTTTGTTTGAAAATCTAATTAGAATTTAAAAGATTTTAAATTTTTAGTGATCAGGAATTACCCCTTTTCTTGATCATTTCTGGGGTCCTGGTCCTGATCACTTCTGGGGTAATTACTGATCACCAGTTTTTATAGTAAAGAGGTTGTTTAAAAATAATTATACAATGTTAGTTAACAAATAAGACATCAAGATCAAACAAATAAACCAAAGAGATGTTTAAGCAGCTAATAAAACGATTTATTTAAAAGCAAGAATAAAGAATAACACTTTAAATTTTCCAAAAATCTATGCATCGTGCCATACATTTTAGACAAGCAGCCAACTCATTCTCATGTTCTGTTGGAATATAAGAAAGAGTTCCCACGTAAATTACTTTTGCTGGATTTTTTAACTTTATTAAGTGAGAGTGTAAAGTTAAGTAAGGTATGTCTACAGCTCTGACAGCAGCTCTCACGCTGAAATTTCATTTTCAATCATTAAAAGAAATTCACTAATTTTGCTTTCTAGAAGCTTAGTATCTTTTTCAGTCTTATAATTTCTCACCATATTTATGTTAAGAAAATTTATAAGCTTAAAAATTATTCTAACAATGTACACACATAAAATTAAGATAAAAGCAAGGTAAGGCAAACCAGAAATGGTGCAAATCAGAACACATTTGTCTTGTATACAGTTAAAAACAAATTTTGTGATTACAGTTAAAATATATTTTATGGTTGTTCCACTTAATAAATATGAACTGTTATTTAAGAAAAGACTATTAGCTATTTTTAATACTATTTATAAAAAGAAATGACAATGATTAGGAATTACCCCAGTGATCAATAATTAGCCCATTTCTAGGGGGCAACATTTTATATAGTTTCCTGTAATTAATTAAAATGTTTACAGATTTGAAACAATTAAACAAAAGCTTACACTATTTTTATATCAAAGAAAATGAAAGTAACTCAAAATATTTATTATTAAGGGAAGGAGGGGGATCTTTGCAGAAATATGCACATTTTGAAACCCATCTTTGAAATGGAAAATACAGAAAGCAGTTTAAAAGATACTTATTTTGTTAGATTAAACAAAAAACTATAATTAAGTAAATGTAGTTATACTTTAAAAAATGTACAAGCATTCTTGTCTATGTCTCAAATTTAAAAAAATAAATAATTTTTTTTAAAATAAAACTTAGGTGATCATTATTTACCCCAGAAACAGAGTGATCGTGAATTACCCCGGGTCACTCTACATATTTCATACTGATACAAGAGATACTCCTTATGTATGAGGCATATAGTTGAACTTTCCTTAAAATCTAAATAGCTCCTAAATGAAATAAGTTCTATATTCTCTGAAGAAAGTTCTGAAATCTTCTGTGAGTTTAAACTTCACTTAAAATCTTTCAAAGTTAATCCAATACTACATAATACTTGGGTTTTCATAATAAAACTGTTTTTTAAATATCAAATTGATACATTTAAAACTTTTTTATTTCTGTTCTAAATGAATGGAAATACAATTTTACTGATTTGTAGGAAAATAAATTTGACATGACACTCAATTCTGATTGGAACGAACAAAAATGTTCAGGCAGATGATACATTCTGATTAGTCAAATTTCTTTTTTGGGAAGGTAGGGATGGAATGTGTCAATAGTTTTCAGTATTTTTTTTTTTCTATTCAGAAGTTTTTTTTAAAAAAAATTGGATGTATATAATTATAATAAAAGTCTTAGAGAGTAAAAAGGGCCTGCAGGTATTAGTGATGCAATAAGAGCATACAAAATATCAGATAGTTAGTGATATAAAATCATTTCATTTCAATATAATTAAAATAAATAGTTTAACTTTATCAGTGTTTCAAATGAAATTTTTTAGGAGTATCTCATTACCATAACAATCATTCTGTCAAATAAAAGGATAAAATTAACTATAAATATTCATAATTTGGTCTTCAATTACATTTTAGAGTCAAACAAAATGTTTGAATTAAATTAAAGTGTACAATGATTTTTTCTGATATTATTCAACATCATAAATTCTGATTTTCTCCTTCCATAAAGATCAAAGTTAGTTCAATTAAAAAAAAAAATTTTAATGGCTGCTTTTTATTATTTGGTACTGCCCTCTACTCTTTCAGAGAAACTTTTATTTATCTTCTTTTAGATTATGATCCCTCTCATTTACCAAAACTTAGTTGATTCTGGATAAATTTATTTACAAATTTTTTTAAATTTTGTTCATTCTCAAATTTTTTCCTTTCTTTTCTTTTTTGAGGGAGGGGCAGAGGGCTCAAAGAAAGAAGAAAAAATAATTTAATAAATTATTACTTTATTTTACATATTTTTCTACCATTCACATTTTTTTTAATATCATTTTATTATACTCTAGTTACAATTAAGGACTGTAAATCATCAAACTACACTTTTAATGCATAATGATTCTTAAGAAAAATAATTTTTTTTAAAAAGTGAGTGAACCACCCATCAAAATTTTTATATCAGATGTTAGTTTGCACTTTCAACTATCTTTGAATAAAATATTTTTGAAATTGAAGGGGGCGAGTTGCCAGAAATCATCTCCTGAAGTTACTCAACTCCGTTGATCAAAAAACTGCAAAACAGACCCATTTACTAAAAAAGTAGGATATTTATTTGCTAAAAAAGTGTTTAAATGACAGATTACTTTATTCTGATCAAAATAAGAAAAAAAAAATATTGCTTTATGACAAATATAAGGTGAGTTACAATCATTAATAGCCTTTGATGTATGAATCAAAATGGCGGCAAATGTGTCATTTTGGCAAAAATACAAATAGTTATAACTTTTAAACCCCTTAACCGATTTAAATATAATTGATATTTTTGAAATCAGCACAAAAAATTCTATAAGTGTACAAATTTTCATCAAAATCTGTGATGGTGGGTGCCATTTTTGTAAAATCCTATATGATTTGACATGGAATGACCCACAAATTACTAAGCTAATTAGCCCATTAACTCAATATATATGTTAATTTATTAATAAAAATTAGTAATTACTATGATTGCTTTGCTACTTTTAGTAACATGAAAAAAAATAAAAATCTTTTACTAATTGACAATGTTTTTTTAATAAAACGTGTAAAGCCCATAGAAAGAAATTATTGCCTTTTTTTTAAACTTTTGCACCCTGCCCTTTTTTTCTGCCTAGAATGAGCTCTGGTAATGCAGTGTTCATGGTTGAAATTACCATTACAATTACAAATCTACGGTTCCCATACCGGTGTTTTAAAATACTCAAAGTACTGCTATAAACTATTGTGATTCATCTTATTTTTAAATTTTTTTTCAGGAACATTTAGAACCATTTCGATAGTGGAAATGAAAGAACAACTAATAATGTGGAAGGGCAGCATTCCAAATTAATTCGAAGGACACAAACCTACCACCAAGATATTTTCACCGTGATTGACATGCTGAAAGAAATCCAGGGGGGAAATGAAGGTAAAATGAACATGCATGTTGAGTGAACTCCCAAAAACAGAGGGTAACTTATAAAGTTCCTAATTAATGCATCTAAGCACTGAAAGAAGAATCAATATGACGGAGCACGGTCCCTGCCGCAGGGTTACCGCAGGGGGATCAAGAAGTAATAGAAACTCTTAATAGTGACAATTTAAATGTAAATTTTATTTCTAATATGGAAAAAGATTTTAATAAATATTACAATATTAAACCAATGAAAGATTTTGTTTTCTCCCTTAAGAATAATGATGTATATAAGCTTCAAGATCTTATTAACTTTTCTTTTATTAATTTACACTTCAAAATTCTTTTTTTAAATCTTGTAAAATCTTCTTTTTTTAAAAAAAATTACGCCCGCCATCGTCTTCTCAGACATAAGGCGTCTTGCAGTCCAATACAACACTGAAGTAGCTCCAGAAGGTGAGAGGGCACAAAAGTCATCACAGGAACAAATGTCAAAAAGAGAGGGGCACACAAGGAGGTGAATTGACCAAGTTAATTTTAAATAAATGGGCCTGTAAGTAGTCATGTCCAGTAATTAATCTAAGGCAAGCAACTCCCTCAGCTCTGGGAAGGAGGGAAAGGTGATAGCGCTGCTGGTCATTAAGAAGGCTAGCCCAGGATTTTCCATCAGCTAAGTCCCTAAGAGCAGATATTATTCTGTGCCTGCATTTGCTCTTAAGAAGCCGCCTTGCATTTCTAAGGGGAACTGGATGAGAAGATGAATGCAGTGCTGAAGCCTCTCTAGCCAACATGTCAGCCCGTTCATTTCAGTAAATGCCACAGTGGTCAGGGATCCACTGGAAGACTGCCTCTCTTCCAGAACAAAGAAGAGAGTCAATGCGTTGTTTATACTTAAATTCGAGTTCAGAGGGATATAAATTATATTCAGAAATGTAAATTCTTGTAAAATCTAAAACGAGTAAAATTTCGCCAAATAAAAAGAAAAATTTAGATAATTTATATTTCGTTATTAACTTTCAAAACCATATTTTTTATATGATCAAATTTCATAAAAAATTTTATTCCATTAAAGTATTTTAACGTAGTTAAAAGCTTTAAATATGATAAATCTCTTGGTAAAACTATATTTAATTATAATGATATTAGCAAAAATTTAGGGGGGACTAATGTATCCGATTATGAATATCACTGTGAAGAAGAGAATTATTTTAACTTTGTTGATAAACATATTATTACTGGTAATTTAAATATTACGGAAAACTTGAGAATTTAATGATAAAAAGCAAGAAATTTAGACCCATTTACTAAATATCAATTCAGTTTATTTTAAAATACTTTCTTTTCAATCATAATAGTTTTTGTTTAAAGATATCAAATAGATTCTCTTTATCTTTAGGTATGTTAGAATCAGGGTTGGGTTTTTGACGTCAAAAAGTGGTTTTTGACATGACAAGGGTATAATACTGGNAGAATTAATAAAATTTAAATAACAGTGACAATTCAACAAATTTTTATAAAATTGTTCAATCAATTAAGCAACTACAGAAAAAAAATTTAATTACCCCCATAAATAAAGATAACAATAATTATGCAATCTTGTGTAAAAAAATTTTTATATTGAACTTTTAAATACAGAGTCAAAAAATAGTAAAAATTTAAACTTAGTAATTTAAATAATTATACTGTCATTAAAAAAATTTTAGCTTTGTATAAGAGGTTTAAAATTAAAGTTAGCAATATACAATTTTCTTACTTAATTATTAGTCCTAAACTTCATAAAATCCCTATAAAATTTAGAACAATCTCATGTCAATCTCATCAACATCTAATACTTACCTAACTAAACCTGGCACAATTTTCTCTTAACTACTTAATTAAAATTATTAACAATATTATTAAAGGTTTTTCTTGGATTATCACTAATAATAAACCAATTTTAGAATTTATTAAACGTAATAAAATTAATTCTATTTCAACTTTTGATCTCCAGCATCTTTTCATTAGTATTCCCCTTTCTAAACTAAAAGGTGTCCTTTTGAATTATTACGATGATTTTAAAAATATCCTTAGTTGCGATTTTGATTATTGGGAAATTCTAATTAATTTTTGTGTTTTTAATAATTATCTTCATAATGGAAAATATATTTTTATTCAAATTGATGGAATACCACAAGGATCTAATTTTTCCTCTCTTTTAGCTAACTTATTTTTGCACTATTATGAAAAACATTTTACTTTTAATATTAAATTTGTTTTTAGATTTATTGATGATTTAATTATCCTTAATTTTTAAGATTACACAATTTTATTAAATAATATTTACCCCTATGAATNTTTTCCTTTCTTTTAGCTAACTTATTTTTGCACTATTATGAAAAACATTTTACTTTTAATATTAAATTTGTTTTTAGATTTATTGATGATTTAATTATCTTTAATTTTCAAGATTACACAATTTTATTAAATAATATTTATCCCGATGAATTAATCTTGCTTTGAATTCATGATGATAATGTTAATTATAATTTTTTGGATTTGGGTATTATAAAGGAAGAAAATATCAGCTTTGTTGTTTTATATGATAAAAGAAATGATTTTAATATAAATAAACTATTTACTTGGAATTTTAATGTTTCTGAAAACATCTATTTAATTACCATTTTTAATCAAATTAATAGAATTAAAAGAATATGTAGTAATGTTTATTTATCCAAATAACAAATAGACAAATTCTTTTAAATTTTGATAAATAAAAAAAACTAATGGATTCCCAACTAAAGTAATTAAATTCTAAATAAAATCTTGAGTATATTATCGTAAATAAATTTACCACAAACTTATTTGTAATTTTTACCATGTGCAAATCCATTTCGAGCAAATCCTTGGTTAAAAATATGTGCGAAACAGGTAATTCATGTTTCTTTCCCTCTCTTTTTTCTTGAATAAAAATTAATTTTCTAAAATCGTTAAAATTGGATATATATTACCCGGTATAATATTACCTTGCGCACATCCATTTTTGGGCCCACCCTTGGTAACTAACAAATTAAACGTACTGCAGTAAAAACATGTTACAAAACAAAATCCCTCTATTTACGCTTTTACCTCAATTTGCGCTTCTGTTTTCATATTTTTTAATCTGACAATCTTATTACAAAAGTATTTTAAATCATACTTGAAAATTTCCCCCCGTTCATGAAAGTTCATTTGAATTCGCTACTATTTGCTTTATAGATTTCGTTTTGTGTTTTGTTTTTTCTTTCTATTTTATTATCTCTTTTTTAAGTGATATTTATTATTTAATGTGTTCTATTCTATTTTGTATCAACAACCAAAAAAGAAACAATTTTTTTTAGTGTTCCTCACACTATTGTATTGATATATTTTGCTTTGACTATATTAATACAATATTAGAAAGCACTTCTTTTTGCGAATACAATCGTGTGAGCTGATAAAAAGATTATATATCTATATTTTTTTTAATAATTTTCTTCTTCTCTCTTTTCATTATTCTGTAATTTTTTTCTCCATGTTTCCTCTACATTTTTCCATTTTTTTCCATTTACCTCTAATTTTTTTGATAGAAAAATTTAGTGCTAGACCACTTACGTTTACATAAAAATTATCATATTTGCCACCAACTTGACCTAATGAATCATGGTATATGACAATTAAGTTATTTAATAAAATTTTAGTCACATTAGAAAAAAAAAATTCTTATGTAGGCAACAATTTTTACAATATAGGCTTCTAAAAGCAACTATTTTCTTCATTTTTTTCCGTTTCAACACTGCTGAATGATTATATAGATGCTGTATCCTATGTGACAATATTAAAACCTGTTGATCAAAAAATTTATGAAAATTTTGTTTATATATATATGTATAATTTGTGTGTACTGTTTATTAACTTCTGTATATGTATCTGTAATTGCATATTTTGTATATAATTTGTTTAAATTTTAGTATGTACATATGTATGGGTTATTTTTAACATTTAGTGCCATTGAAAAATTTATGGAAGAGGAAAATGTTTTTAACGAAGCTTTAACTTTAAAAATATTTCGACACACAATTTCTTTTTTATTCTTCCCTTTATTTATTTATTTCCCAATATTTATCCCCTTTATTTATTTATTGTAACCTTAAAAGAAACACATTGTTAACAATATTATAGCGTAATAAACTAACATGGAAAATAAAATAAAAAATTCTAATTATGTTTATATAAGCCAATTTTTACCACCTTTTATATGTCTTTTTTTTTCAAAGCAACCATTTAATTCCATAAATATTTATTAAATTATTAAATAGCAAAAATTTATGCTCATCATTTTTTTCCTTCAGAAAAGTAAAGTTTTAGAATAGAATTGTTAATGTATTCATCCTAATAAAAGATCATTTTAAAATCTCTGTTTGCTGTGCATTGCATTATATCTTAATGGATATTGATTTGGTTTAGTAATCAGCTTTCAGTTTTCATGCATCAAATTATGTATATAGTATTATATAAATTATGAAGATTTAACAGAAATAAAAGTCTTTCCTTATATGCATTTCATTTAATATATGGGGGAGGAGTTATCGACAAATTAACCTTCATTTATGAATAGGTACCCCGACATAGAATCGAGTTAACATGACCCTAGCAACAATTCTACCTTGGCCCCAGTTGGGCTAAAAATTGACATATAAAAACATGCGGGACCAATATTGGGATGTCTAGATTTTTTAATATTGGTCTTAAAATGGCCTACGTTGGTCACTATAGGCTTATATTGGCTTAATAATAAATATAAAATATCAAGTGAATTTGACAATTTCATATACGGCCGATATTGATTGTAAAGGAGCTGTAAAATATCGGACTGATTCTATATAGGGCCAATATTGGTAAAATAACAGCCCTTTTATTCCTTATTGAGCCAAGATTCGTGAATATTGGTTTTATAAGGGCCCAAGTTATTTTGCTGCTATACTAGTGAATTGGAATTGTATTTTTGTAGTGGTAGACACGCTACAAATATTTATCCCGATGAATTAATCTTGCTTTGAATTCATGATGATAATGTTAATTATAATTTTTTGGATTTGTGTATTATAAAGGNTGGACACAAAACTTTTGAAACAATAGAGTTCAAAAACAATGTTTATGAAATGAGTAGTGAACAAAATGATAATTGATATTATTAATTAAGGTGAATAATAACGATCAATAATCCTTGTTTCAAGGGTCTTTAAAACGAGAAGAAATTTA